GACCGCGCCTTCACATGTTTGGCGTGGGTCTCCTATGAATAAAATAATCTCGACCCCCATGTGTGTGTTTTGTGTCAATCCCGCGGTCATCCATACGAGCACTGTCGCACACAACTCTTGTATTTTCCATATAGGATGTGGCAACTATGACAAGTACAGGCCTGCATCGACGTATGAAAAAAGAATATATATACGTGTTTGATTCTCTAGCTTAAAAAGTAAAAATTATCTGGATCAAATAAATTTCAAATGTCTTAAAAATTTCCTCTTCAAGACAAAAAATGCAAGCAGATACAGATCAAATAACTCATTCTGGTTTTGTTTTAGAAGATATCCCAACAAAATGACCATGCAAGAGATGAATCGTCTAGCACAAGTGTTAGCCAAAATATTACAGATTGAAATAATTTATTAATTACAGTAAGAATGGAACAATTAATATAAAATTGCAGTTAAATAAAAGAGCGATTGTACTTTCAACCAAATACCAAGTGTTCTTTTCTCTCTACTTTCTCTTTTAAGCCAACAATAGTGTAGGATCCACTTTAATGATGGCAATGGGACGGGTTCCTGGCTCCCCCCCCCCCCCCCCCCCCCCCCAAAAATTTGCAAAAGCCAACAAGGAGTATGAAACTTTTTATTAATAACAACTTATATTATAATCATCTATTCATAGACGAAATTATTCATTTTTTCCCCCTCAATCCTATAACTATCATTTTAACAATATTTAATGCACCCCAAAACTAACTGACAAACAGGAAATCACATAATTATGCAGCCTGTATTGTTTTCTTCACTGAAGTAGTCGCACCTCGAAACATAGCAAGGCCTTCCATATACGTATCCAGATTTGCCTTTTGTAATTATTATTATTATTATTATTTTTATTTTTATTTCACGGGGCGAGGCAGAGTGGGACAAGTTGCCATCCCTAATTCACTTCATTTTCCTGACTAGTATAGTTGGCTTTCATATCAACTTGATTAGTAACATTTGTACATTCTGAAGCATAATAGCCAAGTATTTTACTATTATAATATTTAACTTTAAATTTGTCATACGTTGGCCTTTCATTTTATCTTGTACCTCTACCTCTTCCACGACCTCTAGTGGAAAATGAGCTTTATCTTCTTTTCTCCTTGTAGAATATACTTCTTTCTCGATCTTGGCCACATCCCTTCCTCTTTCGCTTCTCCTCTTGTCCAACCTTCCTCCATTTTCTTTCAATGTGAGCTTTGTTTGAAAAATTTGCCCTAAGGGCTCTTCTTTCATCTTCTTCTATAGTCTTTCCTCATGCTTGTAAAGATTCCATGAGTTGATCGACACTCATACTATTTAGACATTTAGATTTCTCAATAGCTACAACTATGTAGTCAAATTTAGAATCTAAAACCTAAGTATCATTTGTATTAATCGAGTGTCGCTCAACTTTTCTCAATTCCTCTTTAATTGGTTCACAATGGTCAATACTCTTGAAAAGTAATTAGAAATTGATTCCGATTCTTTTATATGTAAGGTTTCAAACTCACCTCGAAACGTTTAGAGTCGAACCTTATCACATTCTCAACTCCTTTGTGGGAGCTTTGCAAGAGTTCTCATGTTTTCTTACTCGTAGTAGCACAAACTACTTTCTCAAACATGCATTCATCTAAGTCTTGATAGATGAAGGTAAACGTCTTCTTGTACTTCTTTCTTACATCCTTCAAACTATCACTTTGTTCTTGGGATATAGTGGCCTTGTCTCTCTCTATGATCTCCCTTACATCTTACTACCCGAGCAATGCCTTCATCTTTTTGCTCCAATTGTCAAAGTTATCCTTGTTGAGTTGGAGAACTTGAAAATGAATCATCATATTTGCCATTTTTCAGAAGGACCTTAGAGCTCTGACACCAGTATGTTGAAGATAAGAGAGGTTTATTACCTTGAATTGACTAAGAAATTTAGGAAGGACAATACTAATAGGAAGTAAATGAACAAAAAAGAAACTTGTATCTCTTAACTTCAAAACTCATACACTTGGCTTGTTACAAAATGAAATGACGCATTACAGCATTTATCACCACATCTTTTACTTAAATATTTACTTAGATTTTTCTAGAAAATATTTTTAAAATGCTAGGTTTTGTTGGACTTTTTAATTGAATTGGGCTTATAAGTAAAACCCTTGAACCTATATTACTTAGTCCAAAATCAATTTTACTTCTTAACAGTACGAGTATTTGAGTGGCAGTGTAGTGGTTAATGTGTGGTGGTGGACGTAGTTGTTGTGGTGGGGAGGGTTGGCGATTGCGGTTGCTTTGTTGGGTCATGGTGGTTTTCTCGTTCTTGAAACAGTATTGGATTTGGCGGGTGAAAATGGATTTGTAGACAGTATTAATAAACTTTGTGTGTGTTTGAGTCACATTATTTTGAAAGAATGTATTTTGAAATAGTGGATTGATGGAAAATGTGTAGTTAAAAATGAGAAAAAAATTTGATTTTGCGTGTAATATTATTTTATTAAAAAAATGTATGATTGAAATTATATCAAATCACTATTTAAAAACGTATTTTTTTAAAAGAATGCAGCTCAAACAGAGGCTTTTCTTCGTCAATGTAAAGGGCGAAAATTAAAACTGACTCCCAGTCGTTTCAGACATATTTGATTTGACCACTGTATTTTCCAGAGTTTCGCAATGAAAACCTTGGCAGGAGAATAACGTTTAAAGCACGTAATTACTTTTCTAAAATTACTTTTAGCTAACAAATTACGTATCTAA